TTTTATGAGGAGGGGAAGGAAGGCGCTTGCCGGGCTTACCGGGAGAGCTGCTGCCAATCCTGGGCTCAAATCCCACTCCAGAAGGGATTTGCAGAGCTGGAAAGGTGGGACAGGTTGTTTCTACACTACTTGCCTGGCCCCCAAAACCAGGTAGAAAGGAGGTAGTTAAGCCGAAAAAATTAAAATACTTGGTTCCTCCTTGCAGGCACCCAACTCACTGAGGCTCATCTGAGGTCTCCTTGCCTGTTTCTGGTGGAGACGTTGCTCTGGGTCCACACTCCTCTATTCAGGGGTCTCCTTGCCTCCTGCCTGATGTGTGGCTGAAATTTGGGGTGCCCAGCCATGGGGGACGTGGTGTTGGGGAGAGGGAAGCATGGGTGGCAGCATGGTCATGGCACACAAGGAAGGTGGCTGGGGAAGGAATGATGACAGGAGATGGGCCGGGTTGGATGGAGCTTTGAGCAACCTGGTCTGGTGGGAGGTGTCCTTGCCCAGGGCAGGGGGTTGGAAGGAGATGATCTTCAAGGTCTCTTCCAACCCAAACCATTCTATGAAGGGGGGGGTTGATCTTTAAGATCTCTTCCAACCCAAACCATTCTATGAAGGGGGAGGGGGGGTTGATCTTTAAGGTCTCTTCCAACCCAAACCATTCTATGATTCATTGGATGGCATGGCCAAGGGGTACGTGCATGAGGATGCCTGAGCTTTTACATCTGTATTGGCTCTGGGAGGGCTGGTTGGAGGTGAAAACGCGGCGGGGACGCAGTCTGGAGGGTGTCTGTGCGCCAGGGAACGTATCTGTGTAGGCAAGTGCATATGCTTGGATCCATAAAGACATCTATCACCTGACTGAACACCCTGAACGTGTAACGCGCCATATGGTTTGCTTAAATATTTAAACAAGCTGCTGTTTTCCCTCCTGGGGACTCGGTGTTCGAGTCTGGGCAAACTGGGGACATGCCCTGGTGACCTGCAGGAGGTCTTCAGAGGCTGGGAGCAGCCCAAAGACCTTTCCCATCATCATGGCAAGGAAAAGCTTGGGGTGGGGGGAGGAATGAAGGAGTCAGATTGATAGAAACCAGCCCATCTCTGGGGCAATCTGTGCCGTGTCACCGGAGCAGCTTGGCCAACGCTGCCATGTTTAATCCCCGGTGAGCAAGAGCGATGCTCAACACCCAAGGACTGCCCGTGAGGAGAGGGTTCCCCTCTGGGAAGCCTGCATTTATTTAGCTTTATTTATTTATTCCTTCCCAGAGGGGCACGGCTCCATCTGCGCCCCGGCGTTCGGCAGGAGAAATCTCTCCTCTGCCCCATTGCTGTGGAGATGCCACCCGAGGGGGGATGTGTTTTAATGCCAGGGGAACGGGACCACCAATGACCATTAAATAATATTTAAGATATACTGGGCAATCACTTATTTATTCAGGTTTCCCTCCCTGGCTTGGTATAAAAGCCTTCCAACATACCTGTTCCCTCTCCAGAAAGGCGTTTTAAATAGTGCGTGCGGTTAATTATTCAAACGTTTAATTAGCATACAATAACTGTCGTGTTAAATCTCTACCGCCGCGCGTTTAATTGAAGGGTTAGCTAACGACTTCGCTGACGTGGTCGCTCTGCTTTACATCCCCAGCCCGTTCCTGCCTCCTCTTGTCCCAGTAAATCGCCGATTCCTGAGGGCAGGGGCAGGGGGGGGTGTTTTTTCCCCAGCAAAGGGGTGGTTTGAGTTGGTTTTACTCTTTTTGGAGAGTGTTGCAGTCTCTCCCATTGCCCTCCCAAGCAGCGACGCAATTAGGTCTCCTCCTCTGCCTGCTCGGAGGAGGATGTAAGACTCCTGTTTGGGGAAATCCAAGTTTAATTTTGTTTTAATTACGTTTTCGACTCCGGTCAGTGGATTGGATTGCAGATTTATTTTATTTTTTTGTGTGTGTCTCTCGCCTTTTGGGGGTGCAAATCCGTGTGTGCGTGGTACCAAAGCCTGACTTGGGTTCTTTTTTGGGTTGAGCTGTGCAAAAACACGCTGAAGTGGGTTGAGGTGGACTCAGGAGCTGAAAACCTCAGGAAGGTTCCTCTGTGGTTTAACGAGCGTCGCGTTGAAGGTGATAGCTCTGGTTTTACCAGGACGTAGGGCTGGAAGCTCTTGCTTCTTTGCAGGTGGTGGAGGGCATTTCACTGCTCCTTCACTTGTCTCTTCTCCCAAATGTCAGAGGTGAGACCTCCTCCTATTTTCCATGTCCAAACCCTAAGCTCCATCCTTTAGATCACACACGGATTTCCTGGCTAGTTGTCCCCAGAACGGGGCAATCAGAGCGCCGTTGTAATTAATTACAGCTCCTCAGTGATCTACCAGCATCTCCCAGCTCCCTGTGGGCAGCTGGTCCCAGGAGGCACCTCCTGGCCCCTTTCGCTGGGCTTAATGACACTGATGCATATTAATATTTCTTCGTGGTGCCCTCCCCTGTCCTGCCCCAGAGCCCCCACCGCTCGGGGAGCGTCTGATCCCTACTTGTCCTCGGGTTGCATGATTAGCAGATTAGCCGTGGTGCCCAAAGCTGCAAAAAAAATGAACTCCCAGAAGCCCTTCAAAACAGAGAATAATTCATTACCCACCTTGATTTCCACTTAAAATGTACTTTAACTACACTTCCAACTACAAACCCTAAATCACCCTCATGTTCACAAAAAAAATCCATCATTTTTTATTTTATTGCCCGGCACTGGCATGACATAATCCCTTGCAGAGCCTCTTGGAGTGCTTTACGGATCAATAAATTACTTACCTGCACACAGAGGCAGTGCCTGCAAGGCCATGGCAGTCATTCCAGCTGGGAGCAGCTGGGAAATGGGAAGAGCAGGGAAGGGATAGAATCATAGGATGGTTTGGGTTGGAAGGGACCTCAAAGATCATGGAGTTCCAACCCCCCTGCCCTGGGCAGGGACACCTCCCACCAGAGCAGGTTGCTCAAGGCCACATCCAGCCTGGCCTTGAACCCCTCCAGGGATGGGGCATCCACAGCTTCCCTGGGCAACCTGTTCCAGTGTCTCACCACCCTTAGAGTAGATCCCTCTGATCATCTTCGTGGCCCTCTGCTGCCCCTGTTCCAGCTGGTCCATGTCCTTTCTGTGTTGAGGACTCCAAAGCTGGACACAGAGCTCCAGGTGGGGTCTCACCAGAGTAGCGGGGCAGGATCACCTCCCAAGACCTGCTGGCCACACTTCTCCTGATGCAGCCCAGGACACGGTTGGCTCTCTCATCCATGAGCGCCCCCAAGTCCTTCTCCCCAGGGCCGCTCTCCAGCCATTCTCCACCCAACCTGGATTTGTGCCTGGGGTTGCCACGTCTCCAGGTGCAGGACCCTGCGCTTGGCTTGGTTGAACCTCATGCAATTTGCACAGGCCCACCTCTCCAGCCTGTCCAGGTCCCTCTGGATGGCATCCCTTCCCTCCAGCGTGTCAACTGCGCCACCAAGCTTGGTGTCATAATGCTCGGGATGGGGGTCCCGAGTCAGGATTAAGGGTGCTGCGATGGTCCTGCAGTCCTGCAGGACTGCAAAAAGAGCTGCAAGCCTTGTGCGTGCTTTGGGTGCTCTGGTTGGGTCCCCTCTTAGGGTCTTGTCCCCTTGTATCCGACCTGCTCCTGGATGTTCATGGTGGCATCACCATGGCTTTCGTCCCCATTGAATTCCCCTTCCTTTGCATGGTGGTAGACCTTAGAAGTTTCTGGGTAGACTTGTCTTCGTGTCCAGCTCCTCTTGGTACTTTTCTGGTTGGAAGGGCAGGACAGAGAGCCTGCAGGAGTGCAGAAAGAGCTGCAAGCCTTGTGTGTGATTTGGGTGCTCTGGTTGGGCCCCCTCTTAGGGTCTTGTCCCCTTGTATCCGACCTGCTCCTGGATGTTCATGGTGGCATCACCATGGCTTTCGTCCCCATTGAATTCCCCTTCCTTTGCATCGTGGTAGACCTTAGAGGCTCCTGGGTAGACTTGTCTTCGTGTCCAGCTCCTCTCGGTGCTTTTCTGGTTGGAAGGGCAGGACAGAGAGCCTGCAGGAGTGCAGAAAGAGCTGCAAGCCTTGTGTGTGATTTGGGTGCTCTGGTTGGGCCCCCTCTTAGGGTCTTGTCCCCTTGTATCCGACCTGCTCCTGGATGTTCATGGTGGCATCACCATGGCTTTCGTCCCCATTGAATTCCCCTTCCTTTGCATGGTGGTAGACCTTAGAAGTTTCTTGTCCTCTTCATGCCCAGCTCCTCCTGGTGCTTTTCTGGTTGGAAGGGCAGGACGGAGAGCCTGCAGGAGTGCAGAAAGATCTGCAAGCCTTATGTGTGCTTTGGGTGCTCTGGTTGGGTCCCCTCTTAGGGTCTTGTCCCCTTGTATCCAACCTGCTCCTGGATGTTCATGGTGGCATCACCATGGCTTTCGTCCCCATTGAATTCCCCTTCCTTTGCATGGTGGTAGACCTTAGAAGTTTCTGGGTAGACTTGTCTTCGTGTCCAGCTCCTCTTGGTACTTTTCTGGTTGGAAGGGCAGGACAGAGAGCCTGCAGGAGTGCAGAAAGAGCTGCAAGCCTTGTGTGTGCTTTGGGTGCTCTTGTGCTGGGAGCACTTGGTGCCTTTGGGGGAGTTTGGAGGGGGTGGGTGCTGGTTTCCCAGTAGGACACTGCTATACTGGAAAGGGTTCATCATGGCTGGAGGACAGGATGAGTAGTGGAATTGGGGTGGGGAAAGGAGGATTGTCTTGCAGATGATGGAGGTGCTGAGGAGGGGCTGTCTCGAGCCTCCCTAAAATGACTGAATCCCCTCTGGCCACAATTTCTTCCCCCTCCAACCCTGTCTTCTCCATCCCTGCCTTTCCCCTGTGTGTTCCTGTCAAGTTGTATGAGTCTGATGGGCTACTGCATGGCTTGTGGAGGTGGAGGGAGGGAGGGAGGAAATCCAACCACCTTCCCCCACGGTTTGAGATTTGAGTCGGCGGCGTTTTCATTTCATTTCCCTCTTGGTTTGCCCGCAGTGTCTCCGAAAATCACCGAGATCTCTTCTGACATCTCCATCAACGAGGGCGGCAACGTCAGCCTCACCTGCATAGCCACGGGCAGGCCAGATCCCACAATCACCTGGAGACACATCTCGCCCAAAGGTAAGAGCCAAAATTTACTCAAAATATTCCAGGAGGGGGTGGGGGGGTTGCATCACCATCTGCGAGCGTCGTTGGCTGGTTTACCTCGTGGTGGGCACCAAAAAGATGTGACTTAATGCAGGAGTTGATGATTTTTGGTGGAGAATGGTCTACCTTGGTGGTCTGGGAAGAGGAGGTTATGGTTTTGCTGGTGTGGAGGGCTGGCAGTGGGTACCAGGTTGGGGTTTTGTTGTGATTGGAGACTGAATTGTGTGCATCTGACCCCATTTTGAGAAGTTTCCGGGGAATTCTCGCGCGTCGCTTCAAAGGAGGACTTGTAAATAGTGCAAATGAGCAGGAAAACACGCAGAGCATTAATTGGTGGCCTTGTTAATTGGTAAGCAAAACCTGAGCAGAACGGCGTGGGTGTGACTGCTGGGAAGCCAATTCCCAGACGTGCCCGTTGGGAAGCCCCGTTCTCTCAGAGCCCTTTCCCAGCTGGTTTTTTGGCATTTGTTTTGCGTTGCGTTGACCCGGTGACCGTGAGGTTCTCCCCAGTGAGATCTGGGAGGGAGGGGTGGGGGCTTGGGGTGGGCTGAGCCATCTGGCCGAGGGGCAGTGCCCGTCTCAGATCCCATCTAAGCGCTTGTGTTCACCCTTGGTCATCTTCCCTGAGTTTTTTTTCCCCATGGAATGTTGTCCCAGAGACAACTGCCTCGAGTCCTCCTGGAGGACACCCCGGTGGGGCTGTCTGGTGGCCAAAGGAGACGTCGTAGTGGCAGCAGTGATGGATGGCACCACATCTGCTCCCTCTCTTCGGCTGCCTGACGACGGCTGCCGTGTCTCAGTGCAGCTCCATTGATTTTTTTTTTATTTTATTTTATTTTTTTTAAGCTATTTGTCGGTGCCGTAGCAAACTGCTGGGCTGGATCCATCACTCTCTGGAGCCCAGGCAGAGAGGGAGCCGAGTCGGTGGCATCTCAACCCCTTCCCTTGACAGGAGCCTCTTGTCAAAGAAACGTTCCTCCTCCCCGGCGCGCGTGTTGGCTTGTTCTGCCTTGGGTGGTGGTGCCTCCGAGATGGTCACCTTCGCTTGGGGTCTGTGCGTGGACAGATGATGAAATGCAGGGCTGGGATCCGCGTGGTCCTCTCCAGCCCCCCGAGCATCTCTCGGTGGCATCTGCTGTCACTGTAGCTGTCACCATCCGGTGGCATTGATGGTTGAGGCAGGCCAGGTGCTCCCACCTTGAAGCCTTTTCTTCTTTCTCCTCTTCCCCTTGTCTACCCTGACAGGGTGTTTTTATCTCATTTGCTGCGTGTTTTTTCCATACATCTTATTTTTCCCCCAGCTCAACTCTTCTTCCCACATCCCCAGGACCCTCCTCTTCCTCTCCCGTGCCCTTCACTGCCTTCTCCTGCGTGCCATCCATCCTTTCCTAACCGGGCTCCTGGATTACAGAATCACAGAATCTTCTAGGTTGGAAGGGACCTTCAAGATCATCTTGTCCAACCGTCAACCTGACTGACAAAAATAGACACCCACACAACAAACAAGGAGCATCATCACTAAACCAGACCTCCCAGCACTACATCAACCCGTCTTTTGAACACCTCCAGGGATGGGGCCTCAACCCCCTCCCTGGGCAGCCCATTCCAATGCCTGAGAACCCTTTCAGTGAAAAAATTGTTCCTAATATCCAGCCTGAACCTTCCCTGGGGCAACTTGAGGCCATTTCCTCTTGTCCTGTCGCCTGTGACTTGAGAAAAGAGACCGACCCCCATCTCTCTACACCCTCCTTTCAGGGAGTTGGAGAGAGCAAGAAGGTCTCCCCTCAGCCTCCTCTTCTCCAGGCTGAACACCCCCAGCTCCCTCAGCCGCTCCTCATAAGACTTATTCTCCAGACCCCTCACCAGCTTTGTCGCCCTTCTCTGGACCCGCTCCAGCCCCTCAATGTCTTTTTTATGGTAGGGGGCCCAAAACTGGACACAGTGCTCAAGGTGAGATTAGGATGCCTCTGTCTTTGGCCAGGGCTATTTTCCATGTTTGCTGCCATCCAGCAGGTTTCTTTCCCCCGGGGAATCTTTACCTTGCGCTTGAACCAGATGTTTCCATTTTACTTAGGACTTAGCTGCTATGGAAACTGAGGATGCACCAGGAGAGGAAGAGTGAGCTAATCAGAAATTACCTGTGGCGCCGTGTAATTTGCAAGCTGTTTTAAATACAATTAGATTTTTTTTTTTTTTTGGGGGGGTGTGATTAGGCATTCTGCTTGCAAAACTCGAAAGGGAGTGAGCGACGGCTGAGATTTACTGGAGCCTGGCCTCCCGCTGGTGGAGGGTGCTGAGCCCAGAGGTGGCCCGAGACAACTTTGGTGGCTGCTGTCCCCTTTCCTCAGCTCCTCTATTTCTCTCTCAGGGTCTGCCAAGCCACTGGGGAGCTGGGGGGGGACCTCAACTTCTCCATTTTGCATTCCAAGCACATCACGAGGAGGATTGGAAGCGTGGGGACTGCAACAAGAGCCAGGGCAGGTCCTATAGCAGCTGCCGTGGTGGCAGCCCATCCCCTGGTAGGATATACTCTAATTTGGAGAGGCAGGAGCCCCCCGCAGCGAGGGGGGGACCCCAAAACGAGCAGCCAGCCCCCTCTCTCAGTGGTGGGTCTGCCTCAAAGCCCATCCCTGGGGGAGTCTCCATCGAGCCACCTCCTCTTCTTCCTTCTCGCCGTCTTTCTCCGTCTCGCCCTCGGAGCTGTGGAGGGACCAGGGGGAATTGGTGAAGGGGGAAGACGGTGCATAGTTTGAGGATTGGGTGAGGAGCAGCTGGGGAGAGGCTTTGATGGCGCCGTCGGTGCCAGGCACGGGCAGCTGAAGGAGCTGGTCCCCGTGTCTCTGCACAAAGCCACTCCACGGGCTTTATTATTTTCTTGGCAGCTGGAAGCCTCCCGTGCGGCTCTTGGGGGGGGAGATGGAGCAAATAAGAGTTTGTTTGCTCTCCGGGGGAGCGAGCGGTCGGGTCCTTCAGAGGATTTACACCGCCAGCAGCCCGGCTCACTCCAGACCCTTTTCCAACCACCCCCAGCTCCCTGGAGCCCTTGGATGTTTTCTTGCCTCTGCATCGCCCTGGTCCTCTGAAATATCCATGTGGTGGCTCCTTCTGGTGAGCTCGGCTGAATTTTCACGTCTTTGCGGTTGTCGCCACGTTTTGGGAGCTGCTGAGCCTGTTTGTGAGGTTCTTGTCTGGTTTGGGGGTTGGAAAGGTTCCCCAAGACAGGAGGAGGGAGGGCATTTTTGCTGTAAAGCTCAGGAGCTGAGGAACAGTTTCCTCCCAGTGAATCTGAGGGGTGATGCCTTGGTGCCTCCATCACCTCTCAGAGCCTTGTGGAGTGGTTGGCCATCCCTGTGCCCATCCTCATCCTCCTGCCATGAGCAAACAAGCAGGAGGCTGGCTCTGGAGAAGGGTTTAGTGATCCCATGGCTGGTCCAACCAAGATGTCCTATAGCCTTTTTATTTCTTCTTCCAGTAATCATAGAGTCCCTCGTGAAAGGGACTTTTAAGATCATAGAGTCCAACCATCAACCCAACACTGACAAAACCCATCACTACACCACATCCCTAAGCACCACGTCTCCAAGCTCTGGAGAAGGGTTTAGTTAACCCATGGCCAGTCCAACCAAGATGTGGTATAGCTTATCTTCTGTCCCTTTTTTATTTCTTCTCCCAGTTATCATAGAATCTGCTGTGGAAGGGACTTTTAAGATTGTAGAGTCCAAGTGTCAACCCAACACTGACAAAACCCATCATGAAACCACATCCCTAAGGACCACGTCTACCAGTAATGGTGTTCTAACCCTTGGCAACGCCTGTTAATGCAGCTGAACAGGTTGAGGTGGAACAAGAAGGGGAGATGGTGTAGTCGTGGCTTCTTCTGCCTCAACTTAGTCCCACTGGAGCTTTGTCCTTCCAGCTGGCACCCATGGGTGCCAACCATCTCTTCGCGTCCAAGACTGCGGAGGTATCACAGTCCCCAGCCTAGCGGTGCCGATGCCATCTGTGAACTGCAGAAGGGTCTTCTAGTTTGGGTCACTCAGGTGTTTCCATAGTTACTGGGCTATTTATTTATTTGGGGGGGGGTAACTGATGTTGTCATGGCGATTGCCACCTTGTCAGCCCCGTTTCCATCTCTCGGCGGACCAAGGCTGGGATTTCTTGTCTTGGAGAAAGCGTGGTGTCCCGAGATCCTGGGCAGAGCTCACCAGGGGATATTTATCCGTGCTGCAGCCACCAGGCTCGTCATGTTTCCTGTGAAGCTGGGGAAATGTGCCGAGGAAATCGAAGCACGGGCTTTCCCAAGAGGGATGAAGGCTCGGCAGCCTCTGCCTGAGGAGGAGGAGGAGGAGGCAGGGCGTAGCAGTAACGCTAACGAGGGCTCTGTGGTTGGATGGCAAGCGTGGTTATCGTGTTGTGACAGGGCCAGGGACACAAGGAAAGGGTGTAAAAAGTAGGTGTGTACACTCAGATCTGCCTGCCCGGCACCGGTCTGCCGTCCTGAGCCAGAGGCTGCATCCAAGTCGTCATCCTTAACGACCCTTGATGGAGTTTTCTGCCACGGATTTGTCTAATTTCTTCTTGATTATTGCCGTAGCGTGATGGATTCTGGTGTAAGGCTTAAGAGGGAGGCTGCCAGGGGTAGGGAAACATCGCGGTTTGGCTCAGCGGTGTGTTTACTCGTAAGAGGTCTGATGGAGAGGTCTTTATAGCAGGAATCCCTCGTTAATCTCAGGATTAGGCTGGGCGCTGAAGGCTCGATCCCGTGCAGAGCCGGAGCCCTGAACTGAATCCGAGCTGTGATTTGTTGGGTAGAAGCCATCTGGGGGCTTCCCAAAGAGGCAGGGGAGATGCTCGGAGGGTCCCCATGTGGCCACGGCCCGGATGTCCTCCACCATCAGTCCATTTAACCTCCGTGGTCCTCCAGGTCCCCCCCTGGAAGAGGTACGTTAGTGGTCCCTCGTCTCACAGGAGCG